CTGCTGGAGGAAGCCTGGTGCTGCCACTGCAGGGGAGGGCCCAGAGCTGCGCTGTGTTGGTGATGATCACTCCGGAGGGGATGCAAGCGTGCAGCAGTCTTCCAGGAAGAGTCCGTGGCCTCACATGGCTTTCCCATGCCAGCTTCACTTCACGTGGCTGCCGAGTGAGTCATGCAGCCCAGCCAGGCTCCTCGCCGCTGGGCAGGTCAGGGATGGCAGCAAGGCTCGGCAGCCTCCTGGCTCCCCTCCACTGCTCCCTGTGCAGCCCCGGGGCTCTGGAAGAGCAGATGAGTGGGGAAGAGGGATGGGACCCATCCGTGGGAGGGATGGGGACTTGCTATTCAAGGCTCAGCACGGTGCTCCTGGGCTGGTAGGACTCAGCAGGCTTGAGTGTGTCCCTGGAGGGTCCCTAGAGCAAAGCGAGCTGCAGAACCGTGCCCTCTCCTTCCTCGGGGACTGCTAGCCTTCTGCTGGGAATGGGGCCACGTCCTTTCCCGTGCCCCCCATCCTTCCCCAGACCCTGCTCTGCCCCACAGAAAAGCCAGCCCAGGTGTGCTGCAGCAGCAGTAACCAGACCGATTTTAATGCACGTAACACCCAACATCACCATGGGAGGGACTCGTCCCTTCCATCGCAACCCTCAGGCCATCAGCTGCGAAACGCAGCCACCCCTGGCCCTCCAGCTGCCTGCGTGGAAGCCGGCTTGGGCCGCTTCCCCGCCGGCCGCACCCCCTGCCTCGGCGTGGTTCAGCGAGGCTGTCGGGTCGGTCCAGCGGAGAAGCGCTTCTAGGCAGCAGAGCGGGTGAAGGAAGGGCCCGGGGCCAGGGCGTGAGCCCTAAGGCACATCAGAGCAGGTTTGGAGAGGCCAAGGCCTCCAGGAGCCGGAGCCTGGGTCCCCCTCGGCGCGCACGTCTCAGTCTATCAGAAACTTCTCACCATCCACATCTCTCCCTGCAGAGCCCTTGCGCAGGGAGGGGAAAAAATCGGAGCGGAGGAGGCGGGAGAAGTACATGAGGATCATGGCATCGAGCAGCAGGAGGTTGGCGGTGAGGAAGGCGCCCTGGCCCTGCACCTCCACGTAGCGGAGGAAGTACCAGGTGAGGTAAGACTGGGGTGCCAGGCGGAAGGCGAAGTACATCACCAGGTTGACGTACTTATTGACCTCGTAGAGCACCGGGGAAGGCACATTGCTCATCTTCATCAGCATGCGGACAGTGAGGAAGATGTTGCTCACCTCCACCAGCAACAGCAGCATCGCTGCCACCAGGAAACGGCCGGTGATGATGAGCGAGACGAAGGCAGAGATGGCCTGGAGGGGGAGGATGACACACAGCAGGGTCAGCTCTCCTCGCCCTGGGGGAGGTGAGTCCTTCCCCACCAAGGTCTGGGCATATGCGGTGCTGCTGCCCCCACTCCTTCACCTTCCCCGAGATCCCAGCAGCCTGCCAGGCACCTGGGCCAAGGAAAAACCAGTCTGGAGAGCCAGTTCCCCCAGAACCAGTTACACCTCCCTGCACGGGGAGCTGGGACCAGCCTCCGGCTGTTCCCTCGCCCGGCGCGGCAGCCTGTCTGGCTCCCAGCGCTCCGAGGCGACGCTGGCAGGCG